ACTATCACGTAAGACTTAGTTAGGCGGTTTTTCTGGCCTACATTGGAGAAGGCGACTTATGCCTGTTTCCTGCTCGGTTATCTCCACTTTGTCTTGTCACCGGTTCAATCGGGGAGAGGGTTTAGACTGCGAGAGATGGCTGCTAGTCTAATTTCATTATATCTGACTATAAGCACCATCCCTGCTCTTGGGCATATGGTGGACTTCATCGAAATCGATGGTCGAGCTATCATCTACCTGATAGTATATCATCGTATTGCTGTTGTTAGAGTAGCACTTTTAGTACGTCCACACTTGCATGTCTTCATCATTCCCATTTAATGGTACTTGTACTCTCCCACTATCGGTTAAGTAGAACTGACACTGTCATTACCAGTAATATCAATAAAAAGTACTCACAATAGCATAAATCCAGATTTATATTCATATCAGATTCAATTCTGACTTATAATAGCGACAGATATAGTAGAGGTACTACTAATACTCCGATACCTTGCTAGTTAATATCAGTATAGGAAGACGGGACATGACCGAACCTGCGATACTACTCAATAATGTCTTGTTACCCAATAAGATGATACAGCCCGGTGGAAAGAGTTGAGAGGAGAGAAATCAAGAAGAGTCCTGATGTGCTAATATCACCAATCCCACTAAGACTACCAGCATCACTGAAATTGCCCTATTCCTCTTAAACTGTGCTACTATACCTACCTGATACTGTATTGTCGTACTACTACAGATATACACCGTATTAAGCCTAAATGTGGTCTATAGACGGCAAATTGCTCGACAAAGGGGCATGATAGGACTTGTGCACTTCTCTACAAACGCACTATTATTATCCAGATGCTAATTACTATTACCTGACACAGATTAGGTGTGCACACTGGGTGCGACTCCTTAAAAAAGCATACGCAGGCAGTACTTATATTGTACTAAGTACTGGCCTTAGTAAGCATGATTACTAAAATTAGCACTTCTAGCATAGGCACGTAGCCATATCGGCATCATCTTAGTCCCGAGCATATAGTTACCCGGAATAGTTAAACCCAGATTCACATGCCTTATTGAGACCAAGGGGATATGAAACCCTAGCTTTGGCTTAGTCAGCGTCACCTCTGACAAATGGTGGCGTCAGTGCTAGCATCGGTACCACTACACCTCTTGTAGAGATTGAAGGGATATGCGCCCAGTGCTGACTTTAATCAGCGTCACTTCTGACTTACAAGACAGTCAGTAAAAGTACCAGCAAACAATATCACCCAGCTGCACCCTAGTTAGTAGTATTAGAAATAGCAGAAGTGGTAGTAGCAGTACCAGTCCTGGCTGACTAAAGTCTGCCTATAAACTTACTATAGGTGAGTAAGGGTAGACAGTGCTGTGACAGAGGTTTTCTCCCTGCTCGGTCATCTCGGCTTTGTCTTGTCGTAGTTTGATGTACTTGAGAGGGTTTACAGTGAGATAGATGGCAGCGCGTCTACTTTCACTATACCTGACCACAGTCATCGTCCCTGCCCTCGGGCAAATGGTGGACACCTTCGCTTGCGATGTTCGGTCTAACACAGGAAGACGGTACCCTGTGAGTATGCCTTGTCAGTCGCAAGCTAGACATTGTTGTAAAAAACACCTATGCCGAAACAAAACCCACCCAATACAGCAGCGGGGTGCACCTTAGTTAAAACGACGCCCCCACTGTTAAGGTAAGACCTGCCGTGCTTCAAGTGTCATCACCTGCACAAATACGAAACTTCGGTGCGCAGGGAGACACAAGGATCACATGGATAAAGGAAGAAAGAGTGTGGTTGATGCTGCGCGAAGTCGACTATCAAGTAAAACCTAACTTACGCTCAAGTCACTGCACCAACCTGTTTGAAGCATAAGATGGGCATTTTTAAAATTAATGGCCGAACGGTCGCGTGCAAAACCGCGAGTTATGGGTTGCTCACAAACCAATATCGGCGTTTCACCGACACAAAGCTTTATCAAGTGACTCTGAACGGCTACATCACTTGTAAATGAATATTCCCATCATTGATGCTTATTTTTTACCACTCAGATATTGATATAGTATAAGAAATACCATGCCATCAAGCTTAGTTAATTGTGGAAACTGTTATTCCCTTATTTAGAAAGGAAACGTTATGCAAATTCCAAACTATAGTTGGATAAAGTAGTAATTCTATAGTTAGCTTGAAAACGGTAGACGGAACTACCTGGGGCAATGAAGGCGCAGTGAAAGGTGAGCTTATCATGCACCCGTGATAAAATCCACTTTTTTAACCGAAAATCTTACACAGGACTAGATCTATTCAGTGTAGTAAAACGCCCTGACTTTATATATGCTAAATTACTCAGTGAAATTTCACCATGACCGTTGCGCGAAATTGCAGACATGCTGTATGTTTCTGGCCACTTTTTAATTTCCCTGGGGGCCATTATCGATTCTTCAGACACAACGGAATGACTGCTTCCTGTAACGTGATTTGTGAACGTCCCTCTATGCTGCGCTGATTGAGCATCAATAAAGCTAATCTTTTGAGATACTTGACCAAGAATATATTTTTAACCCAACGCAGCATTCTTGTTATGCTATGATGATCAAGATCTTCATCTGACCGCTAAATAGTACTTAGTATAATGTGTTTGGGGCTACTCTTTTGGAGTGCCTTGTTGGGCAACTGTAGACAGTTTTATTCTGCGGGGACACCTGTGTACGTAAAAATGTTTAGAGGGAGTAGCAAATGCGGTAGCTGATATAAGTCCCCGTAAACAGGACATGAGAATAAGAACCAGCCACGATACAGGTGCCTATCGGCAAAATTCCGACCAAAAATATTGAAAACTTTGTGATCAGTAATTGAGTCTATTTGTGGGTTAAGAATAGCAAAAAAAGTTTGTTAGGGCTAAAACATTAGACGATTAGTGCTGTTTACTGTGTAAAGTTTTCAAATAAGGGTTAGGTTTAAGATTAGAGCTATGTGTCACATCTATGTTAGGGCTCATGCTAGCGTTAGGGAACGTGAATATTAACCTAACTTAAAAGTATACTCAGGCCAAATTTTACTTATCTACAACCGTTCAAAATCCCCCGACATATCTAAAAAGCCATATTAGACCTCCCAGCATAGCTCAGTTTGAGGAGCATGCCAAGCGGGAGGTAGGACATGAGGAGCAGGATGACAGCTTCTTGTTTTAATCTCTAACGTTCTGCCTCAGATGAAGGCTAAGTAAGAGGCTTTTGCGAAGCGAAGTTTGTCGAGGAATAAGGCAATAGGCATAAGGCAAAAAAGAGGCGTCCCGTTTAGAAGTGGTACTAGATTCCAAGGTGGAGAAAGCGGAGTGAAAGAGTATCATATTGTCGGAATAGGAAATTGAGGTATGCAGGTAAATTAGTAGGATAACTTGCTGCAAAGATTGTGGTGGCCTAAAGAGCGAAGTGTTTAGGAAAGGGACAAACACGATGCAAGTGCTGAGCTTCAACACCAATCACCCAATCAGCCATGAACACAGCTGCATAAGGATGCCCTATCAGCTTGTTGAGACGCACTGCAATAAAAAGAGAGGAAAAGTTGCCGAAATGCAATATCTCTAGCGGGTGTTCAGAGAAAATGGCTATCCGTCCGATTTCTCCAACCGAGGCATTCGCAAACCAGACAAACAACAAGATCGCACCGAACCCACATTTTGGCGGATGATTCCGTACGCAAAAATTGTCTCGGAGCCATTCGCCGCTTTTTCGCACAACTTGGAGTCGTACACAGGCCAGAGGTAACCAGTAGGCGTCAGCTTACGTAACCAAAATACCCACTCCCGCGGCAAAAATAATCTGAAGTTTTTAATAGGATCTGGTGCAGGTGCGGACAAAATAAATGTGTTGGAGAAACTGGAAGACTTCTGAAGCCGCGAAATGCTGAACACAGGACAACAGTACGAAGAAAGGGCGGCAATCCTCAAGTTGCGTTTCATTCGACGAGACCCGGCCATACATTCATATGTAATGAAGCCGAATTGCTCGTGAGAGATGACAATCGTGTAAGCCGAGAGCTGCTTGAGTTATGATTCACAGACATCCAGACTATGAACAGGTGCAACCACCTACCCAATCCATATTCGGGCTGCAGCTCAATTTGGCAAAAGCAATTCACTGAGTGGATAACACACATTCGAACGCGTCATCTATCGCCGCCACCAGCGCCATGTACCCAAGTGGCTGGGCAATCGTCACACTCAAGTCCAGTACTGATGCTGAAATTTGACCTGCAAGCCGGCCACCAAGCAATTAGCTCACAAGCGAGCCATTAATTGTCATTACAAGG